AGAATGATTTCAGGTAAAGCATTTGTGTGTATAAACATGTTTGGATTGTTTAATCCCAAGACCAATTTCCATGGCAACATGGTAAATCATGTGTGTATATGTATGGTACATGTATGGGTGTATTTTTGTGTGTTTATACACCATACTTTGCCGGGCTGATTTTAGATTTTGCTAACTGTTGACAAATATTTTCAGTGACACCATCAAATGTTTGCCACATATTTTTCAAATGTCATTGATTTTTAAATATCAATACTATCTGTACTGTAATCAGCCCAACAAATTGCAATGTGCAACCATGCCTTTAAATCCAGAGTATACCCCATTCCTTAGTGTAAACATAGTAGATTTTGGCAATCAAGGGCAATAGCCTTCATAGTTCAAAAGTAAGGTGAATCACAAACATCAACAGGTGAACCATGCATGAGATGAGATTAGTTTGGTCTGGTTTGTGCTTTATATAATTTAATATTGTCAGCCAGTTACAACAATAGAGCTCTAAAATTTATGTTTTTATCTTCACCATATTTTTCATACTAAAAAGCACTCATGCATGTTAATTTATATTCCTTCTATTGGCAAAATTTTAGAAACCTACAATCATTAAATATTTTCCAGTTAAGTTTCTCCTCTGAGGTAAAATGTATCATCAGTACAAATAAATAGTAGTTTCAACATTCCATATTTATAAAATTCAATGTATTATTAAAATATCAAGAATATAAAGTTATAAACTTGGCCAGTTTCTTTGACTTTGGCTTTGTTGTCAGAATACTTTTCTTTCAAACTGCAAAAAGGCAGTACATTTCATGATGTGCATCCAATACCAGACATATTTTCAACCATTTGATATAAACCATGACCAGGAGACTTTCTATTATAAAATTTCGAGAGGTCCTGAGGAAACTCGCCAGCTAAAATGATAAATATATAATACCGTTTTCGAGGAAAAATAATTATTATCAACGCAGTGATCATTTGGACATAAAATCTTTTCCAAATGTCACGCTCGATGGGCAGGCCTTTCAATTTCATTGAGTATAGTACAGCAATTTCCTCATTTGCATCCTCATGTCCGCCATGTTTGTTACAAATTCTGCCAGGCGCTTCGCTTCCTGCAACCTCCCCAAGCACCCCCGCGCGCTCGAGCCACTGATCTATGTAAAAACACTGTAGTGTGCCCATTTTTAGCGCCTGGGTACGAGGCTGATACAAACATATACTAGAAAATACATGCATGCAGAAACCCTCGCCTTGCTGACAAAACCGTTGTATTTTCATAACATGAAGTATCTAAAGTAGTTGTCATGGTAACACGATAATTTTTTAAGAATATTCTTACAAATGAAAATCGCCTAAAAATATCACTTTTAATTACAAAATTATCAATTTCCCAACATATATATGTTAGGTATGTAATTATACGTAATACAAGCTTCAAGTTAAGGTAAAATTCAACCACAAACAATTCACAAAACGTTTTAAAGTGTTCTTTATAAAACTAAACTGCCTTTAACTATTAAATGGCTTTATCGGTAAACTTTGAGTTTGCAATAAAATGATTTCAAATTCTCGCTTGCAAATAACTTTGCTTTATTTTTTATTTAAAAAATTCAATATAATAAAAAAGGGAATCAATATTAAAGATACAATGAAATTATATGCTGTTTTGTTTTATAGTTGTTTCATATACGCAAAGGCCGTCTGGTTTTAAAGCCATTATAAAATCAATATTTAAAACAAACTTACCTTCGTTAACGTCGGCTCCCTTCTTTTAGCTGATTCTTTCGGCCTTTCTTTCTTGAAATTTACAAAATCTTGCAGAAATACGAGCAAAAATGAAATATATTTGCAAGAAATTTATCAATCATCAAATCAAGAAATGTTTGCTATTTCGCTGTCGTCATGCAGTCGTTATAATGCAAACTTTAAATTGGACCAATCAGTGCCCGTTATTCATGACAGTCCGCAATATTTTTGAGATCAGTGGGGATGACCACCCATCGTTGGTGACCGACGCCCGCGCTCATTGATGAACTTTAGACTTCGCTAATGCTTTCGTTTTCTCGGGTGTAAATAGCCGGGGGGAATTAGTACCCTCGCACGGCGCTTCGCGCCGCCGGCTCGGGGACAAAATATGCAAACTTCGCAAGGCTATATATTTTCCGTATTTTACAACATTTCGTAACCAAATTTTGCAATTTTACTAATTTTAATAAGTTCTTTACGGGAATTTACATTTTTTTGCCTAGATCGGAAATTAGTCTAACATGCAAGTTGTCTATTCCCCATTGAAAAACTTGATTGATTGATTGATTGATTTTAAGTGGCGCACGCAATACATGTTTTGTGCAGATAAATTGTTTCCCCACATAATTAACGCTCTGTCGAATCCATGGGCATATTTTTATATGATTGTCTATTCTCCTGTTGTAGATGAATAAAAACGTGATTGCCTTGAAATTATTGGGTTTTTTAAGTGCCTGTATGACGTGTGGGACCTTTATGGATTTGAAAAGAGCGTAAAAAGTTAGTTAATAAGTTCAAAAGATTTTTTTATTTAGTGCAATAGTTTTGAGGATATAGGCCTTTAAACAATGGACTGTTCCTGAGTCCCAGCCTCCTGAGGACTAAACACGGCTATTGAATTTGGCCTTTTTCCAAACTGTCCATTGTGCATAGCCATAGGAGCCTGGGGCTCAGGAACTGTAAGTAGTTCTTCGAAGTCACTGCACTATCAAAAAAATCTTTTGAACTTATTAACTAACTTTTTACGCTCTTTTCAAATCCATAAAGGTCCCACAAGTGATATACTGTAGGCACTTTAAAGCAGCTGGGGTTGCATTGCATGTTTACTAATCAGGATTTAATATTTAGTACTATTGGAAGTAACTGTTCAACTGATTTATGTATCATGACTATATATAAGATAAAACTCGTAAAATATTGCATGACTAAGTCTAAGACGATGAACTGTGATATAGGAGAGTCTTACACGAGGCTGGAAATCAATTGATGATTTGAAAAACATTGGAATTGTTATTTGTCATTGGAATTATCAATGATGTGTGCGATGGGCAATAAATGTAAAAAAATAACTGTACTTTGCCTTTGGTACATTCGTCTCACCTGGATTTAAGACTTGCTCGTTTCTCCTCAGACGGCGAAATATCTGGTTCTGGATCATATTGCTTGTCGTCTAAATTAAGAAATCCGCCTTTTTTTCTCTCTCGTTTTCCCACTAAAATCCAGGAAATAAGAATATAATAATGCATGCCAAAATTCTGACCATCAATCTGTATACGTATGCTTGAACTATAGTGGGGTAATTTAGGCTATATACACTTTCCGATATAAAAAAAATCCAGTTTAATTAATGGTTATCTTCTCAAAGGCAAAACTCGAAACTGCCAAACCTCGACCTCCAAGAGCGAAAGGTATATTGGTCTGCCATATATAAAAGCTGTGTTTTGCAAAACACTATGAAGAAGAAGAATGAACGTCCAATCCGTGGCGCTTGCAGGTCGAGATCTTGCGATGGTGAGCTTTGACATTCAGAGGACAGCCTTCACCAAAAATAGGTACGCTATAGCGTACATGGCGTCTAATGGATCAAAAACAAAGAATGTCAATGCCGTCCGGTTTATATTTACATTTCCGACTTTGGAGTGGGGAAGATTAAAATATCTCGGCAAGTATTTACCCCCTCCCCCCTTTAAAACGAAAACCACCGTTGAAATCCTTATAAAATAACCTTTCGAACGGGGGGTCAAATGCCGTCATCTCTGTATTTCATTTCGAGAAAAAGTTGAATAATTTCTAAACTCTTCAGAATTAGAATTCGCCACAAGTCAATAGGAGTGAAATACTCCTTGTATTCAAGCGCTTTCGTGTAGAAAGTTTCGTTTGAGAATACGGCGGACTATAGAAATATTTATTTGGCATTGAGTTATGACGAATGATATAAAACCATTTATCGTAAACAGTTCGGAAACTTTCGTAGATGCGCTAGCTTTAACCTAACCAAAGAGCCTGTTCGCAGGAGAAGTGAACCGTCCACTGCATACAAACATACATATATCTAAACTTCTTGTCGACAGCACATGGCGACTACTGTCCCAGTAGACGCCAAAAATGGTGATAGAATAATACTTTTGGAGTTGACCAATTCCTTGAAATTTACAATGTAGAATAGACAACTTGCATGTTAGACTAATTTTGGATCTGGGGTAGAAAAAGTAAATTCCCCTAAAGAACTTATTAAAATTAGTAAAATTGCAAAATTTGTTTACGAAATGTTGTAAAATACCAAGAATATTACCGAAATCAGTAGAGTGTCTTTTCCGGAAGTTGAAAAGACAGTCAGAAGCCAGTAGAAACGTTCATGTTTTATGACGTCACGGTGAAAGAATGCAGCGTGGAACTTGCATGTTATTTTACTTATTTAGTAACTTTATTTAGTTTGACAAATTGCCAATGGCTAGTCAAGCACAAAACAAGTTTTCGAGCAAAGGGAGAACCTTTGTTCGTGGGAAGACACTGGGAGAAGAAATGCAAACTAAATAAAGTTACTAATAAGTAAAATAACATACAAGTTCCACGCTGCATTCCTTCACCGTGACGTCATAAAACGTGAACGTTTCTACTGGCTTTTGACTGTCTTTTCAACTTCCGGAAAAGACACTCTACTGATTTCGGTAATATAGCCTTGCGAAGTTTGCATATTTTGTATATGTTTGTAATTGTTGCCATTTTTGAGCCGAAAGTTAACATACAGCTATTTCAATTAAAGTTGTCCCCGAACAAAGCGGAAAAGTCGAATACGAGCGCGAAAGGCTTGATGAATTTTTTAGCGATTCCCAGCAAGCCTTTTGCGCTTGTATTCGACTTTTCCGCTCGTATTCGACTTTTCCGCTTTGCTCAGGGACAACCTTAATTGAAATATAGCTGTATACAAAATTTGCAACCTTTGCGCGACTATATTTTCCAAGCTTTACAACATTTCGCAACCAAATTTTGCAGTTTTACTAATTTCATTATGATCTCTTTTAGCTGTGGTGTTTGATTACCTTCTCTTTACTTAGATTAAAATTTAGTCTAACATACAAGTTGTCCATTGAATTAACTGTATGTGTATAAGGTTGTTGAGAGGGCGAGAGAAAACTAAAGTTATCATTCTAGATTTAGTTTATGGAAGCTTAGGTAGAGATTAGAATAAGTTGCCTAATTCGTGTTTGGTAGGTCTGTCCTATATAATACTGCGAGAGGGTTCATAAATCGGCATAAATTCCGAATTCTGAACTCCGGCTATCGGGGTTTCTTATTCACATAGAATGTCATGCATGTTTTGGCTTCGAAGCATACGTATTTTTTCATCGGTCTTCAGTTAAAAGCTTGTTTCTCAATTTTGCAACTTGTATTCTATTACTAAAGCATAAAGCACTTACCAAGGTATCGATCAGAACGTCGGATATTTAGAACAAATATAATAAATACAACAATGAACATGAGCAGAACAATGATAGAAATAATTGTAATAAACCAATTCTGTTTGTACACCGGAGAGCCACTCTTTTTACCTAGAATTAAAATAAATTAAAGTTAAAGGACAGTTATTACGGCAGTTCAGATTTGACTACCGCTACCACTGCCTCAGTACGTATCCGATTGGTTACATGCAATGCGACTATAAGCACTAATACGATTTTTGGTATGTGTAATATTTGGCTCATTCGAAGAAGAAATGTAATATGTCTTCATAGTAAAAAATCCCATCTTGATCAACTTTTTCACTGTCAAAGTTTCCGGATATTATGTCATTAGGTGAATTGCAAATTATAGTTTTCCTTTGTTTTTGTACCAAAAATTCACATAAAATATGACATCACATCTGGAACTTTGACACTGAAAAAGTTGATCAAGATGAGATTTTTTACTATAAAGATGCATTACGTTTCTTCTCAGAATGACCCAAATATTACAAATGGTCAACCCTGGGCTTATTTAGAAGAAGGAAGGGGGAAATACAATATAAACTTACAATCAATCAACAAATGAAATAAAAGAATTGAAAACAATCATAAACGAAGCAGTCAAACTGACTACAGACTGTACAGGGTATGCAATTCAAATACTTACTCAAAGTAAGTGATGCAGTTTGAAAGGTAAAATATTTGGGAGGACCATTTCCTTGACTGTTGTAAGCCTTGAGTGAGATATTATATTGTGTATTCGGATTAAGACCACTCAATCGGTATTTAGGTGACTGTAGAAGCAGCATAAAACATGGATTGCTGTGGATATCATGACAGTCGTTTTTCGTTCTGTTCGTTATGGCTCCCACTTCACCATATTCCAACTAAAAAGTGAAATATATATAGCTTGAAATGAGATACAGGCAAAGGGAATTGAGATACATGCATGGGCTTTGACTGAGGCAGGACCAAAGAGCTTTATCAATGATAGGCGAAGATGTGTGCAACATTGATGTTTCTTTAAAACGGTAACCTACTTATGCTGAAGGCTTTTGTAGATGGAAATGTCGAGTGTAAATTTTTTACATTTATTAAGACCTAACCAGGAGTAGCTGTGCGAAATGTAACTATATGGGCCTCCAGTCATCGAAACTGCGGCCACGTCTGCTGCATGTGCTGCAAGAAAACACGATTGTGCTGCACAAGGTCGGATTTTGAGGGGAGGTGCGCACCTCCCCTGAGATCGTTTTGCACCTCCCCTGAGAATGTTTGCACCTCCCCTGAAAAGTCATGCACCTCCCCTTGGGAAAGTTTCAATGATAGATCAAAGTGAAAATTTGACATTTTTTGGTTGCTTAGGGTCTACACATAGGGTCTGTAAAATTGAAACAGTGATATATAGCCAATCATCTCTGTGTCAAGTACCCTTTTAATGCAATGTTTTGAAAGAAGCTTTGTAGTAATTGTAATGAAGGGCAAAATTGGACGAGTTGTACAGTCATGATTCACTAATACACTGATACACATGTACACTACATGCATACGTCACATCGATGACTTTGGCCCGTTCTTAGCCCTAACTTTCCAAGGGGGTCGTGAACTATACCGCTGCACCGCCCCTATATTTTTTCCACCTCCCCCACTATTTCCATCAAAATCCGGCCTTGACGCTGCATGTAAATGCGACTGTGCTGCATGGAAGTGCGAGTTGGTTGCGTGCAACTTGGCGATGTCCGTACAAACCTGCCTCCTCCGCAGGCCATACGGCCTGTAATGAGTATGCCCGTTCGCATGTTGAAATTTGAAGTTTGAGGCGAAGGCCTGCGGAGGAAGTAGCGTGCAAATAACAGTTAATAAATAATAAATAAAATGCTCCCCACAATGACAGCACGATTTCATTGTCTATCTTTATCGGACTCACATCGTTGAAACGATAAAATGAATAAACAAATAAATAACCTTTATCTTCGATCTATTTGCTTTCAAATAAATTTTATACTTTTCGATATTGAACCTTTGTTGTGTCATGAAACTATTCACCCCCGTCTGAGTGTTTTGTATTTTGTACAATTTTTAGAAAACAATACTTATCCGCACGGATGATTGTGCGCATGCAGAACAAGTAGGTTTTTGTGAGTTGAGACGCGCGTATTTCTCAGAGAAACGTTTGTGCTGATATGCAGAAGGTCAGCTTCTGTGATAAACTGTGAGACATGAACAGAGTTTCAATAACATTTGTTGAGTTTACTTTGAGCCTGATTGCAGGCTGTTGAACCTGTTCGCAGGCTAAACACGTGCGATTCGCTTTTACATACGGGAATTTTAGTATAAAAACAACAAGTTTCATATTCTTTTCGATCGAACGTGTATTATCTATATTATATTCGATTATTCGAGGATATTTCGTTACGAACTCAACGTTAGTTATGTTTAAGTCTTTTACCTTATTATTTGATAGTAAAGTTTATATAATTTTAATGTTATCCGTGTGTTAATTGAACGAACGTTAAGTAGAGAGCGAGGAAATGCGATAAATATTATGCGACGTGCATAAACATGGCGCCCAACGTGGGGCAGACTTTTTCGAAATAAAGTCGCCCAATCGAACCCGAAATTACGAAATGGCCGACGAAGTGAAGGAAAAATTGAATAGGCTACGTGCCAGACGACGAGGTCATCGCGGTGTGTGTACAAAACTCGAAAAGGAAGCGACTGAATTATTACAAATACCCGAAGGCGAAGGAGATCACATCGAACGAAGCGAAGTTATTGCTGTACAACTCCAAGAAAAACTGAAATTATTAAGCGAAATCGACGAAGAAATATTGGACATTTGCGACGTGAGTGATATACAAAACGAAATCGAAGAATCAGCCGAAATTTCCGATAGAATTTCGAATACGAAGCGAAGAATCGACAAACACACGAAATCTGCCAAGTCTGCAAAAGTTCAGGGTCATATTAATAATACGAATGTTATAGTTACGAATTCGAACCTGACTCCCAGCACGAGTATGGAACAGGAAAGTATCGAAAATACAACCGAAAGTACGACTGATAATTTACCGGCTACGATCGAAGAAAACGAGGAAAATACGAGTTTAAATTTAGGGAACAGTTCGCCTTTATTACAGCAATCAACAACTACGACAATGTCAACAACACCAATGGGACATTTTGTACCAAGTTTGCCCAAGCTTCCGAAGTTGGAACTCCCTAAATATGGAGGTAAAGTAACTGAGTGGAATTCCTTTTGGGACTTATACGATTCAGCTATTCATAGTAACCCAACTATTTCGAAAGTTAATAAGTTTAATTATTTACAATCATTACTCGAGGGGCAGGCAGCGCGTGCAATAAAAGGTCTCACATTGACCAGTGCAAATTATGACGCTGCGATTACAATTTTGCGAGAACGATTTGGGAAAACTCAGCAGACAATAGCTGCCCACATGGATGAAATTTTGAAGATTCAAGTTTGCCTGAACGGTCGAACAAGTCAACTGAGATATGTTTACGACAAAATAAGTGTCCATGTGCGGGGTTTGGCATCTCTTGGGGTATCTTCTGAACAATACGGTAGCATGCTAATCCCAATTATTATGTCTAAATTGCCAACCGAAATCCGCCTTGAAATTGCTAGAAAATCTACGGGAGACGTTTGGAAAATTGAGGAACTGCTAGACACAATAAAAACTGAGATCGAAGCGCGGGAAGTGAGCGAGGGAGTGCAATCAAGTCAACAACCGAGTAAAAAATCTGTCCCACCCTACTCCCCTAGAATACCCTCTGCAGGTGCATTTACAACTCAAGACAAAACTGGTAAACATATCCAATGTGTTTATTGCAAAGAATTCCATTTTTCGGCATCATGTGACCGAGTGACAAACCCAAATGCTCGCAAGGATATATTGAGGAGAGACAATCGGTGTTTTACATGCTTGGGGATTGGTCATCGCAGTACAAGATGCGAGTCGAAAAAGAATTGTAGACGATGTCACGGCAGGCATCACCAATCAATTTGTAATGCATCCAAGGGCTCACACTATACATCACCTTTCATGAATGGAAATAAACCCATCCCACCCAGTAAAGACGACGAGTTACCTGGAGAACCAAATAATACTAGCACTGCAACCGTCATTGACAATTTGACTTCAACTGATAATCCGACTACAACTGGCTATATGACAACAGAAGATTCAACGACAACAACGACCACAAAAACACGGAATAAAGTTCTTCTGCAAACAGCAGTTACGTATGCACAAGGGGAGAATGGCTCCAATCCAATACCGGTTCGATTACTTTTGGATAGCGGTAGCCAACGTTCCTACATTACCAATTCATTAAAGAAGCGACTCGGTCTGGTTCCAATACGAACAGAAACTCTTAATTTAAATACCTTTGGTGATGATCATTTTAAGAAACGACGTTGCGATATAGTCCAGTTATCGTTGAAGGGAAATAGTGACAATCGAAAGATAACGGCACTTTGTTTTCCAAATCTTTGCTCACCATTGACAACCACGATTGATCTAAGCCTATATCCACATTTGCAAGAGTTACAGCTCTCTGATCTCAACATTCTCGAAGGACGACAAAATGATAGCAGTATCGACATTCTTATTGGCGCAGATTATTATTTTGATATTCTCACTGGCGAGATGGTACGAGGCGAAAGTGGTCCTGTTGCCATTAATAGCGACTTTGGCTAGGTTGTTACTGGTCCGACAAGTGATACAGAATCGTGTTCGAAAGTCTCGGGAGTTCATTTGCTCATCGAGGAGCAAGGTTCATTATTAACACCATCCCCATTTGCGTTGAGAGAGGATGAATCTGAACTTTCGAAGTGTTTAAACCAATTCTGGGAGATCGAGTCGATGGGAATTAACGAGGAGAAAGTAACTAAAGAAGAGTTTTTGAAGGATATTCGATATCTCGAGAATGAAGCAAGATACGAAGTTAGTTTACCATGGAAGAATGAGAGTATTCCGAGAGTATTGATGAGAGTATTAATGAGACTATTTGATACTGTTGTAAATTTCAGAGGTTATCCTATCGGACTTGTTGCTGATATCGAGAAAGCCTTCCATCAGATACAAATTGCTCCTGATGATAGGAAGATGTTGAAGTTTCTCTGGTTTGAAGATATTAATCAAGATCCCCCGACCCTCAAAGAATATGAGTTTCGACGTCTGCCATTTGGTCTAACCCCCAGTCCTGCTATCTTATCCAGCACCATATCTCATCATCTTTCAAGATACAAGGAAATTGAACCAGAGATAGTCTCATTGTTGCTCGAGTCTCTGTACGTTGATGATTTCGCAGGTGGAGCTTATGATGATGATGAAGCCTTACATATCTATCGCACATCTCACGATCTCTTATATAACTGAATGTCATAAGAATCCACTTATCGCAACGTCGATGTTGACGCAGAAGTACGTAAAGTCGACGCCTCTTTACCATGTTCATCATCGCAAGATTCTTCAGTATCGAAAGCAAATGCGTTAAGATTCTCGGGATTAGTTGGAACGAGGACAGTGATGAATTTTGTTATGACCTCGGCGAATTAGTTGAATATGCGAAATCCCTTCCCACAACTAAACGATCAGTGTTAAAGCTTTCCGCCAAAGTATTCGACCCCATTGGTCTTTTCTCTCCATTTACAGTTACCATGAAAATGTTGTTTCAGACACTGTGTACCACCAGCGTGAACTGGGATGACGAGTTAGATGGCAAAGCATTAACGGCTTGGAAATCTCTCGTAAAAGATTTACAAGCCCTGAGTGATATACGAGTACCACGATGTTATTTTCAACGTCTAAACGAACTGTTTCGAACACACGAGATTCACGGGTTTTGTGATGCGTCTGATCTTGCGTTTGCGGCAGTGGTGTATCTTCGCACAGCACACAGCAATGGAGATATTGAAGTGAATTTGATTGCATCCAAAACACGAGTTGCGCCTATCAAACGACAGACTATGCCACGACTTGAACTGTTAGGAGCAAATATATTAGCACGATTGGTCGATTCTATTATTCAAGCACTCACGTCGATTAAGGAAATTGCTGATGTTGTTTTATGGACGGACTCGTTCACCACATTATGCTGGATCCGAAACCATAAAGCATGGAAGACGTACGTCCAGAACCGAGTAAACGAAATCAGAGAGTTAACAAGCAACTACGAATGGAGACATTGCCCGGGGGAATTAAATCCCGCTGATTTGCCTTCTCGGGGATGCTCGGGACGTGAACTCGCCGAAGCTGAAACGTGGTGGAATGGTCCAAAGTTTCTCAAGGAGTCTAAAGATCAATGGCCAGTTGATCCACAACCTACGAGTAAAGACAACGACGAAGCTTACAATGAAGTGATGAAAAACCCACATCCAATTGTACATTCCTTGTCTGGAATATCGTTAAATGGTTCTGTCCATATTGAGAGAATTCTCGATCCTCAGAGGTACAGCACGAAGACTAAGTTACTTCGCGTCACAGCATTAGTAATCATTAGATTTATAAAGAAGACTAGCATTAGATTTATAAAGAAGACTAGAAAACAACCGTGTACAATTTCACCTGAAGTAAACGCTGATGAATTAAAAGAATCCGAGAAATTATGGATCCGTAGTATTCAGTCGACAGACTTTGCCGAGGAGATCGAATGTATTCACAATGGTTGTATGAACTCACGAGTTAACCAGCTTGGTTTATTTGTCGATGACGATAAGATTATCCGTTGTGACGGTCGAATTGGCCACTCCACGATGCCTGACGATGCAAAGCAACCAATCCTTTTGCCCCCAAAGCAAGAATTTACCAGGTTAATCATTCGCGAAGCTCACGAGTTAGTACATCACGATGGAATTAGAGAAACTTTAAATTGCGTTCGAAGAAAATATTGGGTTCTACGTGGTCGAGAGAGTGTTAAAAGAATGGTAAGAAGATGCGTGACGTGTAAAAGGTTTGAGGCTAAACCCTTTGCTGCAGCTAAAGAACCAGCTTTACCGTCAAGTCGAGTCAGCGATGAGCCACCATTTAGCCACACTGGTATTGACTTTGCTGGTCCCCTATACGCTGTGACGAATCGAAAATCGAAGAAAGTCTATATCTGTTTATTTACCTGCGCCTCTACTAGAGCCGTCCACCTGGAACTTGTCCCGTGTTTATCCGTATCTTCATTTCTTCAAGCTTTTCGACGCTTTGTTTCCCGAAGAGGTTTGCCATCACGATTAATAACGGACAATGCTAAGACTTTCAAGAGTGCATCCAAAGAAGTAAAGAACATCTTGCGATCTTCCGAAATTCAACGAGAAATGGCATCTAGAGGGGTGCAATGGGAATTCATCATAGAAAAGGCACCCTGGCAAGGAGGATTTTACGAACGAATGATACAGAGTACGAAGAGGTGTTTTAAAAAGATTCTTGGACGATCTTCTCTTACGAACACTCTTAGTGGAAATCGAAACGACGATAAATAATAGACCACTTACGTATGTCTATGACGATGAGGAAGGAGTGTCGTACC